CACGCTTGGCTGCTTGGCCTACGATGCCCTAGCGAGATGAGTTTTTGTGTGATGGACAATGTCTTGCGGCTGCATGGTCCCTCCGAGTCTGGTCGAAAGGCTTCAGCTTTTGAAAGGTACCAAGAGATTGGTGACATGAAGAAGCAGTGGAGAAAATTCAAAACCTGCAGGGCGTCGGCTGGAGAGGACTTGACCTATGCAGTCTACCTTGAAGTGCTGCCAAGGGAAGTCCGAGATCTTCCCGCAGAATTTTATCTGCTGGCTTTTCAGCAGGATGGTCCAGAACCGACTCGTCCTTGGGATGGATCATTGTGTTTGTGTTGTTTTGTTTGGATATATGCTTTAGATAGGTTTTGAAGAGGAAGAGAGGTTTAGTTTATCATTCCCCATGGTTTCAGACACTGAGGTATCCCAGTGGATGACTTCTTGATGGCTATGGGTTCCTCCAAACTACGGTGGCCCAAAGAGAGCACTGCTTCCACCGCTACTGAGAAGCAGGATGCGACACCAGACAGCTTGAAGTTGATGGAGTTCGCGTTTCGAATGGGGCAGTCGGCGCACCCTGCTGCTGTTGGGAATCCATCGACACGAGCACCAGAGCCTTCGGCACCCGCCTTTCCTCCCCTGCAAAATGGTGCTCCTGCATCTTCTGTGCCTGAGGCACCCGACAATTCGGTATTTTGAAGTTATTTTCAGATGTTAGGATTTCTTTTTTTTTAAGGGATTTCCCTGATTTCATATCCAGGAGGTGGATCAGGTGGACAAGATGGCTGAGCCTCGCAGTGACCTGTTAGCCATTGAAGATGCTCCAGAGACGGGTGAGATGGAGGAACGTCGCTCCAGCGATCTTGCAGAGTCTCCTTCGATGATGGCAGAGGCCGACCACGAAGGCCATGGCAGTGAAGATGATCCAGTGACGAAGATGCAAAAGGCTTTGCATCTGCGAGAAGAGGGCAAAGGCAAGCAGGACGCTGAACCAAGGGTGAAGAAGCCGGGCAACAACTTGGGTGCCAAGGCAAAATCTTCGTGTCTGAAAAAGAGGCCGGCCGCTTCGAAGGTGATCCAGGCAAAGCCGAAAGCCAAGTCTGTCATGAAGGTGACTCCAAAGGCCAATGCCAAGAAGGCAGGATACACACATCGGCTCATGTATGAAATGGATTTTCACTTTTAACATTACACAAGGGGATTTTTTTTTTGGCGGCCAAGGCAAAGCCTTCGAAACCGGTGAAAAAACTGAAGATGACGAAAGCATGCGTGTACTCGCGGGCTTATCACCAGATGAAATGTGTCTGAGCTGAGTTTTTTCAAAGATCAATTTGACTTCAACACATTTGGTTTCTATAGATTATGTTCATATGCATGCTGTATACAAATGTGAACATAAGCTGCGAACCAACATTTTATATAGGGCGGTGTCTCCGGTGAAAAAAAATAACTTGACGAGCGGTGTGACCGCTTGGCATTGTATTCATCTGTAGTTCAAACACTAAGGTAAGTTAATCGCCAGCGGCGGCTTGTCTGAAGAGATGATTTGCAAGAAAGCGAAAGCTGCTGGGAACGCGGCCGTGAAGAAGCAGTTCAACTCCAGCTGAGCCAGACAGGAGATTTTGATATGATGTGAACCGTATAGCCATGATCCCAATGATATAGGAAGCAACTGGAGGAAAAAAATAGAAATGAATGTGATCTACAGCTGAATTACGGTAGGTCACCAAGGGGTCTGTTTACTTGATTGCGTGCGCCTTGATCTGTTTTGGTTAGTTTGAAGCGGTGTCACCGCTGTCAGCGGTGTGTCCGCTTGAAGCTGGAACATTATCGAGATTTTCATACATACGTACATATATACATACTTATATATATATGTACATACAGACATGCAAACATATACGCAGCTACAGACAAACATGCACACATATATGTGTATATATATATACAGACATACATAAATTTGTATATATATATATATTTGTATAGATTTATTCATATATATATATGTTGATTTATTAATGTATATGTATGTTTTCAAAATAGGAAAATGCCTTTGCGTAGGCAAACACATGATGAAAATATAGCCATTTCGATTTCTATGTCCTTGTGAGGATGGCAGAACACGGAGACCAAGAAAGGGGTTCCTGCAGGTGTCCAAAAAATCTCAAGGTCGTTTGCAGTCATGGCAGCCAGTCGCTTCGAGTATGCAACCATTTCATGGAGCGCAATGGAAAGCAACAACACCGAACGGTGGTGGAACTTGTGGTCTATGGCCAAGACATGGGACTGGTTGCCCCCCGTGCAACAACTACGTCACCGAAGAGGAGGCGATGCAATTTTTTTGGGCGATGGCATGACCAACATCAAATACTCTTTGATTCACCATGCCAACATGGACCTGAAGCCCACGTGGAAGCTGCATCTTGGTACATGTTTGTTTTGGGAGGGGGAAGACGGGATCTTTTTGTTTCCACCACTGAAAGGTTTTTTTTCAAACTTGTTGCTGCAGGTATATAGCTAGAGATGGCTGCGCTATCGTCGTGAGACCAATGGGAAGCCCCGAGGGCGTGAAAGTGCTCAAGTTCTTTTGGGATCGCCAGAAAAAGGCTGTGAATGTGCACCTGGCTTTGAATGGAGACCACGTGGCTTCTTTGCCTGGGAAATGGGGGCCGACAAAGAGATTTGTCCAGGCCGACGGTGGCAGGGCAGAGTTTCCTGCAAATGCCAAGTGGCATTGCCTTTCAGTTTAGTTTGGGAGCAGCGGTTTTTTCTCCGCTTGGCTGGTTGTTCGTTTTTTTGATGGGAGGCAAGCAGCGGATTTTTTCCGCTTAGCGGTGTCACCGCTTTTTTTTGGATAGGATAGTTTACATGTTTGCGGTAGTTGTTTTACAACTCAAGTCTGCTTGCCTTCTGTTGGAATGGCACGCAGATGATAAAGCAATGGTTGTTTTTGTCTTCATGGCAGGGCAGCTTGCCTTAGATTTTCTAGACATGTCAAAACTTTTTTTTTGGTAGTATTTGTTTTCTGTGTGCCAGACTCTCTGACAGCTCATGGGCAGGTGTTGGATGCATTTATCGAACTGGCTGATCGCACCATGGGGAAGCCTGAACTGATTCTGGGCTCCTGCCAACTTGCGGCGATGGTGGGTGATCTCAAGGTTCCGCCAGGCCTTTTCGATCTGACCCTTGCCTCTTTGTTTGAAAACCAAGATGCGGTGGATCGAGCGCTTGAAGATGCCGAATGCGAGCAACACCGCATGATGACAAGGCGTTTTGCTATTGTGTTTTCATGCAAATGTTTTTTTGTGCCTATCGAAAGGGAAGCAACATGTAAGAAGGAAACGCAGTGGGTTTTGGAAACAAAGGATAAAACTCTGTCAAATTTGCCACCCTGCGTGCAGCAGGTGGATCCAAGAAGGCTTCTTTCCAATGCAAGAGATTGGGCCAGAGCCACATCGGCCGTCTCGCCCTGCCGAGGAGCAGCAGCGTGGGCGCAATGGTGGTGGCCGTGCTGCTTCGAGCAAGCCCCGCAAAATGAAAAAACCGGCAGCAGTTCAAAAGACCCTGAAGAAACCAGCAGCCAAGTGATCGCACGACCTGCAGATTTGAGGTGAAAAAATCGAACGTGGTGTGCTCACAGCGTGATCATGTGGTGGTTTGTGTCTGCCTTTTTTCCCCGGCGCACCAGAAACGATAGCGGTGTGATCGCTTCAAACCGTTTGATTTGGTTTTAGACTAAATAACAATCCAAAAGCGGTGTGACCGCTTGAAATCTTTTTTCTTTGTTTTCCAACTAAAGAAACAAACCCAGAGCGGTGTGACCGCTATATTTAGTTCTCTTGCAACAACTAAGACTAAGAACAACAAACAGCGGTGTGACCGCTTAGTTTTTGTTTGACTGAAACCAAAACAAACAGCGGTGAACCCGCTTCAATTTTTTGTTTTCTTGCAACAACTAAGAGCAACACAGCGGTGTGACCGCTTATAGGTTTTTTTTGACAGAAACCAAAAGAAACAGCGGTGAAACCGCTTCTTTTTTTGGTTTTCTTGCAACAACTATGAGCAACACAGCGGTGTGACCGCTTAGGTTTTTATAAAAAACAAAACAAACAGCGGTGTCACCGCTCCTTTTTTTGTTTTGTTGCAACACCTAAGAGCAACACAGTGGTGTGACCGCTTAGGTTTTAATTTTAAAAACCAAAACAAACAGCGGTGACCCCGCTTGATTTTTTTGTTTTGTTGAAACAACTAAGAGCAACACAGCGGTTTGCCCGCTTATGTTTTTTGGTTTTCTTGACAGAACCACGAACCAACAGGGGTGAAACTGTTTAAGTTTTTTTTCTTGCAACAAATAAGAGCAACACAGCGGTGTGACCGCTGATGTTTTGCAACGACCAAAACCAAACATCTGTGTGATTGTTTGAACACATTGATTTTGCGATTCAGAAATATATGGCCACTGAGCTGTGCGATCACTGATGTGGTTCATGGTGTACCCTATCTATACCCTATCTATACCCTATCTATACGTCCATTCAATTTTTCTTGATTTTTGCTCACCCTATCTATACCCTATCTATACCCTATCTATACGTCCATTGGATTTTCTTGATTTTTGCTCACCCTATCTATACCCTATCTATACCCTATCTATACGTCCATTGGATTTTCTCGATTTTTGCTCACCCTATCTATACCCTATCTATACCCTATCTATACCCTATCTATACTTTCATTGGATTTTCTTGATTTTTGCTCACCCTATCTATACCCTATCTATACCCTATCTATACTTTCATTGGATTTTTTTGATTTTTGCTAACCCTATCTATACCCTATCTATACCCTATCTGTACCCTATCTATACCTATCTACAGCCTACCTATAACCTGGAGGGATTCTGTCTGTAGCCAGTCGAAAATATTTATGGTTGATTTTCCTTGTTTCTGAAGGAAATTTTGCCTAAGTGCACTCAAGCAGTAGAAGCGTGTCTTCGTGTCAGCACTGCGATCATGGCTGATGGCCAACAAGCACTGGTTGAGACCCAGGATGCTCAGGTTGCCGCGGCGGTTGCGGAGGACAGCACTTGCGTCAAGTGTGGATGCAAGATCGTTGACTTTGACAGTCACAGCTTCCAATGCCGTCAGTGCTGGAACGTGCACCAGATCATGTACCGCCACCTTGGAGGAACTCCTCCCAGTCTGCAATCGATGCAACCTGAGGAGCAGAAAAAAATTTTCAAGGATGTGGGAAAGCAGCTGAAAGTGACTCCCAAGAATGCCAGGTGGTCACTTGTTCGAGCTGCCATGGTCAAGAGCATCACGCATTACAAGAAGGAAGAACAGGTGAATCGCGTCCAGCGCAAGTACTTGCCCTTGTCAGTGCTGGAGAGAAAGGGATACGACGTGGAAGCTATCAAGCAGCATGGAGATCGACGTGACGACGAGGTCCCTGTAATGCATTTATTTGTATGTATATATATATACATATATAGATGTATAGGAGAGAAATCTCCACAAGGTAGTCATGTGAGCCCGCAATGTTGAATGGCTAATGTTTTTTTTTACACCCTGTCGCTGATGTGAATAATGCAGGAGTTGAAGTATCGTCTCTGAGCGGTGTGACCGCTGCAGTTCTATTTTCTCGTTCTTTACGAGTTTTCCATGCGTGAGGTCTTCGGAGAAGTTTTTGCAGCACCAATTCTCACGATTTCGAATGAGGAGATTCGAGGTCAAGTTGAAGAAGAATTGGCACAGAAGGAGTGGCATCTCAAAAACAAAAAAAAGACTGCGAATGTGAAGCGGTCAGCAGCTGTAGCCAATCAGGCTGGCGATGATGTCATTCCTGTTGAAGATGAAGTCTGGGAAATTCCCTCTGATGATGAGCAAACACGCGAACCTTTGAGCAAAGCCCCTAAGAAAGGGAACAACAAGGACGAAGAGCAGGCGGCGAAGGACGCCTTGAAGCAAGAGAAATTGCAGGAGGCAGCATGGCGAAAGGAGACAGGCAAGGCTACTCGTGTGATTGCATCGTTGACTTCCGTTACCCAGAGCTTGGCCAATGCCAAGGTCCGCACTGGCAACAATGCCGAGCTCTTCGATGACTCTGTGCTGAATGGCATCACAGAAGCCTTCACGAAGCTGAAAGATTTGAAAGATCGTATCATGGCTGATTATCCCAGATTGTTTTTTGTGCAGCGGTGTGGCCGCTTTATTCTGACCACCTTGATTTATGCCATATAGTTCAGACTTCCTGAAGTCCAAAACCACTTTTTTGAACAACAAAAAATTAATAGTTCACATGGATTTTTCCGCAATGTTTATTTAACCATTAGACCATACTTCTTGCTCAGGCGCCACTGCCTTGATCAGTGCGACTACGCAGCAAAAGCTGGCAGGGATGCCGGAGCCCTTTGTGGAGGTTTCTTGCCAGGATTCTGTCTGTGCCAACTGAGAACCACCAAGAAGGATTCTCATTTTCGGGTGCAATTGTTATCATTGTCCTTGATCAGGTTGCTACAGCGCAAGCCGATGTGAAGGCCGCTCAGCAAGTTCTCGCTGATGTGCGCAAAGTCTTCAGTGACCGTGCGCAGGCGCAGAAGGCCGCCCGTGGAGCTGCTGGCAAAGCCAAAGCCAAAGCTTCGACGACGAGGAGAGCCAAGGCCAAGGCCTCGCCATAGGTTGCTTTCTCGAGGATGACGATCTACTGCTGGTGGAGAAGTTTTGACAAGTTCTCCTATATAGAAACTTGACATGATTCATCTACAAGTTGCATCATTGCATCAGAGTAAAACACTTGCTGCAGAGCTTGTGATGACTGGTCTTGCGTTGGTTTTGAGTTAGCGGTGTGGCCGCTTTGCTATGCCTGTGCCGTCCCAGTTAGTTGAGCGGTGTGCCCGCTTGCCCATGTATATATATATATATATACATAGATTGTTATCTTTTTTTGTGCTTTTTGAATATATATATATAAATATAGATATATATATATACATAGATATATATATACATATACACATATATGTATATATATATAGATAAGGCACGAGAAAAATACAATACTTTCAAATATACAAATGTATATGTAAATACGCATAGACATATATATATATATATACATATGTATATAGATATATACTTGAATGCTCCGATGTAACCTCAATGAAGAAATCTATAAATATATAAATACATAAATAAATAAAAAATAACTAAATACATAAAATACATAAATAGATTCAAAAAATAAATAAATAAATTTGTATATTTTAATTTAAATATAAATAAGTGTCAATATGATAGTCAAACTAAATGCAAAAGTGAATGTAAATACACATCTATCTAGATACGCCAATAGCTCAGTTTGTTCGCAGCTGAGTTACTTTCTTCAAGCTGAAGATCGAGGATCCGTCTGGGTCAATTTGGCGACCTGCGTTGAAACCTAGCTGCATCTGAGGAAAAAGACATGGTAGAGGCTTCAGGTTTGTCTCAATTTTGTCTTGCAAAAGCGGTGTGCCCGCTTCTTTATAAGGTCGTGCGTTTTTTTTCAGTTTCGGGCGTTAGCGGTGTTACTTCTTCCTGTTGTCTGTTGCAAGCGGTGTGTCCGCTTTGCTATTGGCATTTGGCTGTTACACTTTTTTCAGCGGTGTGGCCGCTTCTAGAGTACGCAGAAAGTTCTCACTGATACCTGCCTTGCAGGCATGTTGTTTGCTCCTCGACAACATAGCAGTTCAACGCAGATGTTGAACGTAGTGGCAGGAAATAAGTCGCAAAGTAGTATATGCAGCGTCTCTGAAGAAAGTCATGTATATATGCATATATGGACAAGTAACTATCTAGCTATGTACATATATATGTACACATATATTAGATTTAGACACGAACAGATCGATACTTGGTTCTGCCATGTCTAAGAAGCGTCCCCTTGACGAACAGACCCAGGAGAAGATCCGCAAGGGACTCGCAGTTTCGGGCGCTTCAGAGAGGGCGATCAACGATCTGTGGAATGTGTGGCACGAAGATGACACAGGTCGAGTCGGTCACGCTCAGTTTGCTCGCATAGTCCAAGAGAATTTGGCACCTTGGCAGGCTATTGTGAAGCCCATCAGGTTCGAGCTGCTCGAAGGGGAGCATCTGAGATTGCCGATCTGTCAAGTGCGGCCAGTTGTCTTGAAGTTGTGTGAAGAGTCCCCTGCCTTTCGACAAGCGTTGAGGAAAGCTTTACAGCACAACGGATATTTGACGCCTGTCTTCTATTCAGATGAATGTACTGCAGGCAACGTCCTTTCAAATGAGAAACAAAAGAAAGCTGTTCTCTGGTATATGTCGTGGCTGGAATGCTTTCATCTCCTCAAGGTCCCCACAATGTGGATATGCATGGCTGCAGTGCAAACGCAATGTGTGCAAGAAATAGTGGGCGGTACTTCCGCAGTGATGACAGCCATCTTGGCTGAAAATGTGTCGGAAGAGCTTCAGCGAGGCTTTGCATTGCCTGTGGGCATACAGTTTAAGCAATCCTTAAAAGCTTTCTACGTTGCTGACATGGATGCCATCCGAGGCACATATTCTGTGAAGGGATCCGCTGGTCTTCGACCGTGTATCCTCTGTGACGTGCTCAAAAAGGATTCTGGGCTGCTGGAGCACGATGCCTCCTATCTCGACATCAGCGCTTCATCTGGATTCAAATTGAGCTCCGATGCAGCGATTTTTCGAGAATGTGATAGAATGAAACATTGCAGGACCAGGGCACAATTGGAAATGCATGAAAAGGCGACAGGCATTGTATATGATAACGCAACATTGATGTTTTCTCTGTCAGAACGAAGCAAAATGCCGCCTTCGCGGATCATCGCCGACTTCATGCATGTGTATCTTTGTAACGGAGTCGCCAGCTGGGAAGTAGCACTGATGTTGGAAGCGGTTTACTCCCGGACATCCTTGACATTAGACATCTTGCAAACGGCAGCTGTTTCAGACGCCTGGCGGGCTTCAAAAGGTGCAAAGAAAACTCCTGCGTATCTCAAGCACCTATTTTCTCACAAAAACTTTGGCGAAGGAATTTACAAAGGAGAAGGTCATCAAACGCGTGCTATTCTTCCCTTGCTTCGCTATTACTTAGAAACCATGATGGAACCTGCAGGTTCATTGCCGGTTCCCTGCTGCAAAAGTTTCAAAGTCCTTTGCGACATCATTGCTTACGTGCGACACATTGCACATGGTTTTCACAGGGTGGACAGCAAATCCATGGACCACCTGGATGCATTGCAGAAGATGCACCACAAGCACTTTGGGATGGCATATGAGAATGGGTTCAAACCCAAGCACCACCACAGACTGCACATTCCTAGCCAATGGATGAGAGCAGGTGTCGTCATCAGCTGCGAGCCTCTCGAAACGAAGCATCAAGTTTACAAAGATGGTTTGGCTGATAGACAGAAGGGAAAGGTGAGAAACTTCGAGGCCTTTTCCGCGGCAGTCTTGCCCAGGATGTTGCAAAGGAGTCTCGACACGATCCTCAAGGCTGGCCTTCCCTTTTGGGAGCTGTTGCCGCCAATCCACGAGGCCAACCTGGATGACAAGATCTTTTTTTCCGCGGCAAGTCTACAGACAAGCCTTCGTTTCTGAGATTCAATTGTATATACCTTTAATCATCTTTGTCTGAAATGGAGAGAGCTTTCCAATTTACTTTTGTGCTAGGGGTGTGGCCGCCTATAGGATGAAACCATGTAAATATTCATACTCGTGATTTATTCACGAATGATGCTTTGTGTGCAGTATCTTCAGAGCAAATTGAATTGCCAAATTTTAAACACACACTGACCAATATTTAATATATATATATATTTATTTGAGGGACATTTCCATATAGATATTTGATACATATACATATATGGATATAGATATATATATATTTATAAGTGGCAAGCGGTGTGCCCGCTTTAGAGAACAAAATAAAAGTCTTAACAAAAATAAGTGGTTTGGCCATTCTTTGGTCCTTGTGAAGCAAATCCATTCACGTCGTCACTGGCGCTCGCATGAGGTTGCCACCTTCTTGCGAGTGAACTTTCCCAAAGTGATGTGGTGTGTTGGAAGCGTGAGGCTGGCATTGTTCAAAGATTTTTCAATCATCCTGAACGTGGTCTCTATGTGCGCTACACCAAGTTGACCATTGCTTCTCCATGGCACTTAGAAATCATTAGGCCGCTCCATGTTTGCCGAGCCTTGTATATGTTCCGTCTTCATTTTTTCAGGTGTATGTTTTTCAAATTCCTCGCATTTATTTTCTAAGATGAGCAATCAAGGTTGAAGAAACAAGCTGGGGCACGATTTGGGAAAACACACAAGAGATTGTCACGTGTCCGATCTCGACCTCGCAGCCGCTTTGCATTCCTCCGTGGCACAAGTTCTCGGCCGACCACATGTGCATCACCTGCCTTCACTGAAGAAAGATGCAGCGGATGTTGCCACAGAATCTTGCAGTGAAATATACATGAACCACAGAATATAGCGGTGTGCCCGCTCATCGACATTTGGTCTTGATGTTTTGCGGTGTGACCGCATTATGTTGTGGTGTTTGCATATATGGATACATATGTCAGCGGTGTGTCCGCTTATCTATGATAGATAGATTAAAATAATTTACATATATACATGTTCGCATATTTGCATACATATATTATGAGATCTATTCATATTTATAAGCATATAAGTAAATAAATAAGTAAATAAATAAGTAAATAGATAAATAAATAAACAAATAAATAAAACGCATAAAAAAATCTACATATATATATAAATATCTCGCTGCAGAAGCGGTGTGTCCGCTGCGTAAATGCCGCACAGCAGTATGTACAATTTTTCCATCACCAGACTTCTTGATCAAGAACTCGCCTCACGAGCTCCATTTGTTCATTCCCAGCCATGTGCCATGACGAATGAGAAGCTTTTGCTGCTTGCGACGGCAATGGTTGTCGAGGTGGCCACTTGGTCAGATGAGGACCAGGACCGGCTTGAAGCATGCCGCGAATTCTGTCGCAGTGTTTGCAGCCTTTTCGGATTGGTAGAGCAGACCAAGCCCTTGGCACAGCTGTGGATCCTCATCACGATGATCGAATGCAAGCTTGGTGGTTGCAGCGGTGCCGATATTACCGAATCTGGCATGGCACCGCCAAAGAAGTGGGCACCGTGGGAGGACTGGAACAAGTTGAATTATTACCAGCGCATTGCTTTCTTGAAGGAGATCCACATCATGCAGAATGTCTTGCCACGGTTGCAGGATCATGCTCCAGAACTTTTCAATGATGTGTTGACGCTTTGCAAAGAAATCAGAAGCATGATTTCCGAATCTTGACAATTTACCAGCGAAGCTGGCTGTGAGGTATGAAAAGAGTTTTGGGAGCTGCAAACCAATCATGTCAGCACAGCTTTCCACTTTTACAATCAAAGCGGTGTGTCCGCTCAGGTCTTTCGACTTCAACACATGTCCCATATAACTTTTTTACGAAGCTTTATCTCTATATCTATATCTATATCTATATCTATCTATCTATCTATCTATCTATCTATCTATCTATCTATATATATATATGTATATTTTAGTTATAAAAATCTATATGTATATACTACATATATATATATACATACATACATGTCCCCAAAACAGCGGTGTGCCCGCTCCAATCAAACACATTGGGTTTAAGCGGTGTGCCCGCTTATATTTAGAAAAAATAACCCTCATGCGAGCAAAATGCATTATATAATGTCAAGTACTTCAAATCCATATACTTCCTTGGGGTAAACCACCTTCAATGATACTAAATTCCTAGCACGCCTGTACCTATATGCAAAGTAAAACTAGTGAAACTGTGTCTCATTGCGCGCAAAATACGTGTCTAGACATGTGCAAAACCAATGTTTTTCAAAATTCAGTCTACTTATCGAAAAAACATGATTTTCCACATGTTTTTATTCAATTCTACTTATCCTACTTAGATTCTACTTATGATCTACTTATAACCAACTTATTTCTACTTATTTCTACTTATGTTATATAAAGATTTTTAAATTAAGATAAGTAGGCCATAAGTAGTTCATAACTAGGTTAGGTGTAGCTAAGTAGAAATAAGTAAATAAGTAGCCACGGACCATCCTGTACTCATGAAATCTCAGATATGTCATGTACAGTTCATGTACCTTTTGATAGTGCCCCCGGGGTTTTAGGCTTTGTCACCCTAAACCCCGGACCATCACTGTCCTTTCCCGAAAATGGGAAGCGTAGATTTTCGCATGTTTTATACCCAAATGATCCCACATAGGAAATCATATCAACTTGAGGTTCTCATGGTTTATCATATAGGAAGTCCTGCTTTGGATGTTTATCCAAGTTGGAAATGTTATGTTCTAAGCAGATACCCGATCCATGTTCGGAACAAGATCGAGAAATATTTCGAGAGTACAGAATACATGTTAAATCCAAAATTCAAGGCCTATAAAATAAAACGTAAAATAAGATATCTCCAAATAAATAAGAACTATTGGATATTATAGATTCAAATTCCTAAGTCTTGGGAACATGGATCCAGATATCCCAACATGCCAGGGAAAGCTGCAAGATCTCTTAGAAACCATCGGCTCCGACAGACAGAAGGAGGCGCAATGAAAACCATCCCCCATCCGCCCAACAACAGGATAGAGCTTGGTGAACAGTTCGGAATTTGAGTGAATTTGTGGGAGAAAACATCATCAAATCATCGAACTACCATCTTGGGAAAATTGTTCGTTGACTCTTTGGACCTATATAGTTGAAGCACGGCTTGTAGGTGCCCCTTGTTTTGTTCTCCTTTTTTGATCTACCTCTTGTTGTGGCTAGCGACTTGACTCGTACCAATACAGGTCTATAAATGTATATGGTGTTCTCCAAAGATAGGTTAATTTAAATCTTAATGGTTTATTATCATTTTCACATATGTTCCCAAAAATATGGGTAGAACCCCATTCCTGCAGTACATCCAAGATAGCTTTAAATGCAAGACAAAGTTCATCCCTCATGTTCCGATTTGTCTTGGTAAACCCCAATATACCCCAATGGGTTATCTAAGTATGTATATTATAGGGTACCCAAACAAAACGCGATTCAAAACATTGTTTTCCCATTTCCCATCAGGAATGATCCTTTCGGGTGTTACTCCCACATGTTTGGACAAGCACCTCTCAACGAATCTTTCGCTAAATCCACATGTTTCATGCAGAACTTCCTGTTCTTGATGGTGACATCAGTGAAATGCTCGCTTGTAATCAGTGAACTCCATGTATTTTTTGGATGGTCAAATAATTCTTGATCAGCTTGTTAATTTTTCTCCATCAAAGTCACTATTCAATGCTATGACGCAATTTTTGTGTGTCCGCAAACGATGGTGCCATGGTGCCTTCCCCATCCGCACCAACAGGTTTTGCAACTGATTGCGGAAGCGGATGACCTGGCCCTGCGAAGCCAGAAGAGCTTGGATGCCTGCATGGAGGCGGTGCTACCGGATGCGGAAGCGGATGCTACCGGCTACCGGTTGCTTTCGCCTCAAAGAAAATGGATGAAGGTATTCCCCCAATAGTCATGATTTGATACTTTTTTATGGTACCTTCCCAATTAAACAGCCGGGCTAGGGGTTTATAAATCCAGGGTTGACATGAATTATAGGTTCTCGTTGATGGCTGTGGATCCAAGATGATCACTGCGTAGCTTCGATGACTGAAGCATGAGATAAAGTCTCAATTTCAACAGCAGTCGTGTGGTCAGATCAGGCAGAAATCACTGGTTTTACTATAATTATATATAATTATAGTAATTATAGCATATTATAGCATGACTTTTTTTTGTTTCGAAAGTCAACCAATCCTACATAATCCATAGCATTATGGGCAATGGGTTTACCACCATCAGCCGCATCAGAATCCAGAGTTTCTTCTTGCGCCGCATCACCATGGCATCCAGTGACGCTTCCGAAGACGATGCTCGGGTGTCGAAGATTGCTGAGTCCCCGGGGGATCCTCTGGCGGCTGAGCATCTCTGCGAAAAAACATGAAAAAACGATGTCTGGAAATGGGGCATACCCTAAAAATGGATGAACATGGCAATTTTCAGAAAATGATACGTGATTAAATGAATGAATTTCCAGGGTGCCCTATTTTTGGGTATAGCCAAGATGTTCTCCCCTTTTTCGTGGCATTTTCTGTGTGAGATGGCCACCAGGTGCATCCGTGGCACCGCACTAACTCCTTACCTTGCTAGCCAAGTGGCCAGAATGTCCATCGCTCACCCTGAAGTCTTGCGTGTGACGCTCGTCCACAAGGCTTTGCAGAGATGTGGAGGGGCTTTTCGACGCAATCGGGAGATGCATCATCAGAGTCACCGGCTGGTAGTTTCGAAGACTTTTATTTGTATTTTATATTTTTAATAATTTGATACTACGTAGTGTATATAATTTCAGCATCAGCATCTTCTTTCAACCATGTTTTGGGATGGTAAGAAAAACTATGAAATCTATCCATTGACCGTCACATTGTGAAACCAGGTGAGCGAAGCGAAGGGATCAGCAGGTTTTGGTCCCACTCTTGGCATGGCAGTCAGTGGCAGAAGGTGCTTACCCTTATGGTGCTGTACAATGGTTTGCCCTCGGTGCTCTTCGGCACATGTGCTGCCTTCATTGTGATGTCCTTGTTTTCCCTGGGTTTGTTGCCAGGATTTGTTCGTGTCGCAGGGCTGCAGATCCTTTTCTCAACATGGAGCCTGGTGATCGGCTTCCTTGTGGCCATTGCGACGTTTTTTTTCTGGAAACCGCGGCAAGAAGTCTTCTTCGATCGCATTTGCATCAGTGAAAACCCAAATTTAAAAGCTTTAGCTATTTTCAGCCTCGCAGGAATGTTGAAAAAATCCAGGGAGATGTTGGTGCTTTGGGACCCCAGTTGGAGTGACCGACTTTGGTGTTTGTTCGAGCTGGCTTCCTTTTTGAAATGCAAAAACGGTCAGGAGAAGCAAAAAGTGTTGATCATGATGCCAACATTTGTAGGTCCATGCTCAATCACAGCCTTCCTCACAGTTTGTGCTGCCATGCTGGGTGCGACGACATTGCCCATTGAGGGCTTTGCATCACTGGTGCCTTTCATTGGTCTATTGTCTTTTGGAGCTTTGGTTGGATTCTTTGCCTTGATGGCCTTTCGCGGATACTTTCACTCGGTGGACATCTTGGAAGAAAAGCTTGGCTCCACCAGTTTTGACCAGGTCACTTGTCATTGCTGCGAATGCAACCATCTCAGTGAAACTGGCCAACGTCTCGAGTGTGACCGCGAGGTGTTGAAGCAATGCGTCAGAATCTGGTTCGGCAGCACAACAGCCTTTGAGGAATCTGTTCGCTCAGAATTGTGTGGCATTGTTGTCACGGAACTGCGCCAGGATGTTTTCACCAGAGGCTGGGCGTTGAAAGTAGGCTTGCCAATACTCTGGGCTTTTATGGACCTCGCTGCCACCAATATAAGAATTGCATATTACGACCTTGCCTTTGAGTTCTTCGCTACTGGTTTAGTTGTATGGCTGGGTTGCGCGCCCATCTTATGTGACTTGGTGGTCTTTCTGACCAGAAGGTACTGCCAGGCCCAGGGTTGTGGAAGTTGGAGTGTATTTCTGGATTTCTTCTGGAAGCTTTGGCTGGAGCTCCTGGTGATTTTGGTGGTGGCTGGGCTTGGTGGGATCCATTTCTTGCTTCACATTCTTTTGCCTCTTCACACGTGGCCTCAGACTTTAGGTCGCGCCGGAGCCTTTGCAGGATCCATACTGATTCTTGGTGTCCTGGTCGAAGTGCTGAAGCGTGCCAGGAGATGCCAAGGATTCCACGGCCAAAGGCCGGCGCCAGCGTTTAATGGAAGTGATGATATCGATGAAAATCCACCAAGATCTGCAGATATCGTTTCACTCTAGTGAGCTCCTGTTAGCTCCAGTCTTTTCAACATGTTTTTTGTCAATTTTCATGAAATTCATCAATTTTCAATTTGCAGATCCGTTTCAAAAGTGGCACCTCTTTCAAGCCACTGTGCCACCAGGTCCAGCTGCCAAGCATCGCAGGGCTGATGTTGCTGTAAGCAGTGAAGAGTTTCAGCAGCAAAAACAAGGGGGATTCAAGTGAGCAAAGACGTAAAGGGTTCATGCAGAAACCTACTATGGTAAAAAATGTGTCGCAAACCATGGAAAGCGATATGGTGAACTATTTAAAGCGATAACGGCGATATCGTGATTTGATGGTGAAGTTGAAACGTGTTGTTGTTGTTGTTGTTGTTGTTGTTGTGGTTGTTGTGGTTGTTGTGGTTGTTGTGGTTGTTGTGGTTGTTGTGGTTGTTGTGGTTGTGGTGGTTGTGGTGGTTGTGGTGGTTGTGGTGGTTGTGGTGGTTGTGGTGGTTGTGGTTGTTGTGGTGGTTGTGGTTGTTGTGGTTGTTGTGGTTGTTGTGGTTGTTGTGGTTGTTGTGGTTGTTGTGGTTGTTGTGGTTGTTGTGGTTGTTGTGGTTGTTGTGGTTGTTGTGGTTGTTGTTGTTGTGGTTGTTGTTGTCGTTGTTGTTGTTCGCAGCCATTTGGGATTGTATAGTAACCTCGTGTGCATTGTTTTTTGTATTCGTAGGACAAGAATTGGGGGCTCCCTAAGGGCTTCGAGGTGCTCCCAAAAGGACTAGAGTACGCACTCCTGACCACAGAACTTGCTGCCAAAACCTGTCACGACACAGGCTTTGGAAAGCAGAGACTGTGCTTGAGAAACAATCTTGATTACCAGAAGAAATTATCGATAACCAGATCGATAACCTAGCGATAACCAACAATTGCCAAAAGGGGCCCCGGGCAGCCAGAGACCCAATCCATCCCTGGAGTGGTGCGCGTTAATTCTGCGTCAAGTCTTGAAACAGCTACTTGGCGTGGCCCAGCTTGGCCTAGAAATTTTAAACCTATCATAAGATAGCTTTGATCCACCGATCCAAAGAGTTGAACAGAACCTGCAGAAGCAGAAGGTACGCAACAGTGCAAAAACCCAACTGTTATGAGGGAAATTCATTCCGCACTTTGAAGACAAACAGTGGGCAGCAGACTGCTGACCGTGAAGTGCCCCTGTTGGTGACGTGGAGATGAATGGAAATGGATCTCCAAATCAATAGCCGTAGTTTGACATGCCACAAAACCATGTAAAGCGATAGATCGAACTACCTAAAACGATAACTTTTGCTCATGACCGTAGTTTTGGCAGCTCAAGTGGCCCAACAGCAATACATTCATGATCTCGGAAGCAAGATGGGAAGGAGAGCTGCTAAGTCACTGATTCTTTTTTGACGTTGGCTTTGCAACACATCGCTTTGGAGCCACTTGAATTTGGGCCTGGCCATTTCATCCCCATGTGGAAGTGTCCACTTAAGAACTGGTTCATAATCTACATACTTAGATTCTAAGATGTGCATCACACTTAGTCTGTGGAACTGGTTACGAAACCCGCCATATATCCAATATATATATATATATTATGTTTTTATATGATATACAATCCTGTTCATATACATTCTATCCCTGTGGATCTCCCATATATGCAACTGGGAGAAGTCACCGCCCCTGGATATCCCTGAGCGCCAGGTGGTGGAGAAAGGAATCGTGCCAGCGGAAGTGCCTGGCTGCATCAGTGCCAGCGAGACCGTCTGGATCAATTGGAGCAGTGTTCAAAACCCTGGTTGGTTGATGTACTCCTTATATATTGGGGATTATAATAATCCAAGAACGGGGAATCCCTATAAACCAACCAGTATAATGGAATGATATATGTATACCTTTGGCCACCAATCTCACCGATGTGGTCGACCCAAGATGGCCACTACGGTGGAGACAAAATGTAGATTCCAACCAGCAAACTTGTTGGATTTCAGCCACATCTGGATTTTCCTCGTAAAAGCATGGACAGGTCAGAGCGGGCAAGAATTGGAATAGTTGGATTTGGACTGTCTTGACAATGAAAGATTCAAGATTTACAACAAAAGATGGGGAGGGTGTGGAGAATCAACGCCCCATAAATGATGGCGCATCATGAATTATGCAGTTTTTTTTAATATAAATTCCGGTCCACCGTGCACGCAGATACATTGCAACTCCAGCCACTTTTGGCTTCCTTTTTCTGAACCAGAGACGTTTCAGGTGCACGTGCGGAATGCACTGCAAGCACAACATCCACCATTGACCTGGAGGAAGTTTTGATGTTCTGATACCTTATGCCTGATGGTTCAATCTTTCTTTGCAATGGTTAGCAAGCTGATTTCGGGAAGATGTTTACAAAAAAAGCGGGCTGTATGGACCAAAATCGCTAGCCTTGGTCCAAGTTCTTTGGAGCTGCGGCAAACTAAGGTGCCTGCAGAGCCATCGGCACCATGAGAGAATCTGCGCCGATGTTGTGTACATCTGGCTGTGATCATTTGCTGCGAATCCGCAGATCTTGATTGATAAAAAAAAACATGTATTTTGGATACTTTTGGGACATGGTACAAACTTCTATTCTATTACTGTATATACTCAATGCCCATCGAAATGCATCTAAATTTAAATGCATCTAAATAATTCTACATGCATGTTTTTTAAACCCATTTGCACATCTAATTCGAGCACCCAATTCGAGTTCAGCTTCGAGTCCAGCGTCAGGGAAGCAGCTGAGCTTAGGACCAATTCACTGCAGTGGTACTCCTTGCAACGCATGGGTTGCTGTTGAGTTCAAAACCGTGTCAGATATGTCGGAGCTTTTGGCATTGACTCCCAAAATTGTTCGAATTATGTGAGATTCATTTAAGAAAATATTTTTTGCGCGTTTTTTTGCTGTATCTTGGGACTCATGACTCATGAAGAACTATCAAAAATCCACCATCCTCGTTTATAGTCCATTTTCCCACGGCAGCAAAGCTGAAATTTGTTGGGAGGATCCGCTTTTCCACATTTGACTTGACGAACAAAATTAGCGGCTCGAAGCTGGGTTTCTAACCATAAATTTGCGTTCTTATTGTGTCAAATCCTGATGTTTGATACTGATACCCGTACTTATGATGTGTTCTTTTTGTTCCTAGTGTTCGCGTTTCTGGTTGTATACTCATGTTTAGCCGATAAAATACCAAAGAAACATTGAACAAAATGAAATACCCATGATGATGGCTCAACCATCCATCATCGTCCATTTCAATCAACACCCGTGATGATTGGTCAATATGTACCCATCATGTTCATTTATGTTCCATCACATTTCACCCAAACATGTGCCCTCAAAGTGGGTTAAGCTCGGATAGCTAGTTTAGTAACAGTGATATATTACGTTTATTAGTCACTATATCCATTAACAACCCAACCACTATATAAATGGTAATAGATTAACCATTCACATGGTACTATATCAAAAATATCATGCAATCTATCCCAGTTAATAACATATTAACTACATCATGAACCTAACCAGCCTATTCGAACATGCAGGTTCAGGACACAACATGTGTGGGCGGCATCTCAGCCAGGCGGTGGCGCCCCACTGCCAGAACAGCTTCGGAGTGAAGCCCGGTTGACGGAGTCTGGGGCCCGGTGGTCACTTGATGTCACTGTGGCAGGGAAATCGCGCTCAAAAAAAAACATGAAAGTGGATGAAACTGGCTGATTCATAGTGTCGATTTGATTGATTGACATTTCGCTCCAATGGTCAGTGTTCAGAGGAATGTTGCTGAAACATTCTAAAACTTGCGCCAGAACAAATCGTCGAGATGTCCTACTTTCGAAAAACCGAATAAATCATCCTAAAACTAGTCTGGTAGAGGGACATGATTCTGCAGAAATGTATTGTTGTTATTTTTTCGGTTTAGTTCACACGGAGGGCGCGAACGGAATCCGTGTCAGGCTTTCTGGCTCAAAGTTGGCCACGATGTTGGAATGATCAGCGCATAGCCCAGTTGATCTCCATTGTTTCTATAGACTGTAGACTCTCCATTCTGATTCCAGGAGCCTTTGCAGAGAAGCATGCGGGCATTTGAGATACGAGGCTGTTTTTCTACTTGCCTAACTGATAGGTTCCCGTCCAGACGAAACCAACTTCACCACTGACACGGACGAAGCATCCACGGCGCCCCACTGTGTTGTTCATGCGACAGCGGCGCTGTTTAGCAGTGCTTTTGCTGCTGGTGCGGATCTTGGTTCCGTCATATATATGCTTGGGCCACAAAAGATCTCCCATACCCATACGAACTGTAGGAGATGTGCATTTGAATAATTTGCCACTCTGACAGCTTTGACCGGAATATAAGGATACTTGCAAGTAGGACTTTGAGCCAACATGGGTTTCTGAAGACCAATTGCAGCTCACCTGAGCACATCGATGGCATTCAATGACAATGCCAGTTTGTGTGTCAAAAACGATGGCTTGCGGAGCAAGTTGACCCAGTTTCCTGGGAGGCTTCCACAAGTCCTTGCGTCATGGTGCGCTTGCTGTGCTTGCATGGGAAAGGTGGGCAACCGGAAACCAACTCGAAAATGGTTGATTCAAACCGTTGATTATTGGGTTCACCACATAGTTTGGGATGCTAACAGATGACATTTTTTTCTGGCTGATGCATTGAGACCGATTCTCAGATGAGCATTTATTTCTGCTGCGCGACAGGTGTTTGCCCTTCCCAGGTGATTTTATCAATTCTGTCTGTCCTCTACATACTTGAACACTTGGTCAAAATACCCCCAGAGTTTTACAGTATGTACCTGAAGAACTATCATTCTTCCCCAAGTCTCAGAGGGTGAGAGGATTTGTATGGATTTGTATGAATTACCAAGCCAAGAATTGATTGACAGGAAAAATTAACCCTCCTTTAAAGCAATCGGCTGAGAATTCGAAGATCTAAGAGTTTTATAAGAGTTTTGGAACCCCATAGATCTAACTTCCTGATTCTATCCCTACATCAAGTAGATGACATCCATGGTTTTAACAAATGCTGTAAACCATCCGCAAGTCATCACCAAGTTTATAGGTGCAGTGCACCATCCCCACGGTTTATGGCAGCCAGGGTTTTCCCCGGAGCCACAGGCAACACGGCCGACACCTTCCGTGACCGCGTGAAGCCTCTGGCCAAAGACGCGGAGCTTGTTGCCTGGCCGGGCAAAAATGAACATTTCACCAAGCGAACATGGTTTTGTAAGCATGAAACATAGGGATTCGTAAGACAAAATTGACATTTAGCGGACCAAGAGTGGGATATTTAACCGTGCAACATATGTATTCACCGATGAATAATATGGAAAATTGGAAATGTAAGCCAACAATGATGGCGATCGGGGTCTTATGGAATAGATATGCAACAATCTGGCATTTGGCTGTGAAAAATTGGAGATTTACAGAGATTTTCTAAACGCAGGATGAACCATCTTAAACCATGATAAACCACAATGATTATTATCAATCGTTTTACCCCAATGAATAGGAAACGACGGGTAGTACCTCATGGACAAACAAACTCTCAGAATCTCGGCTTGAAGACAGGTCAAAGCTTCAGATCCACCAAAGGCACTCTCTGGTAAACTAACAGAGCTATGGAACATGGGTAATTTTGTAGTTGATTTACCCATTAAAACTGGTGATTTCCAAAGCTATGTTAAATTGCCAGAGGGTAGTGAATCATCCATAAATTTGGCTACTTCACTTGGGTGGTTTACTCAGTCCTGAATTTAGTTCGCTGTTGATGTTTTGGCCGATTTGCAATGTGTAAATGAGGCGCGTCTTGTTTTTTTGCAGACGGGACCGCACGTCAGTGATTGTTTCCCCCTGCCAAGATAGTCCAAGATGGACAATTTTGAAGTTCATCGACGCTCAGGGGATTCCAGCTTCTATTTCCAGGCATCGTGAGTAGCATACACCAAATCACTAAGTCGTAAGCGAACTCTTTGCACACTTTTTCGTTGGGGGTTTCAACTTGACTCACACCTGCAATGGGCTTGGGATTCAGTATAACCATACACCACTGCAATACAGTAGATGTTTCGCCGATTTTGGGGATCGAAAAGGCACCGGTGCGGAGAGGTCTGTGTCAGTGCTCCTCATCCGCTTGGTGATGGATTCGTCTAGACCTCAGGTACGGTGATGGAGTCGTGCAGGACTGACTCAAGTGCATCCATTTAAGATGTTTATGTATGCTGATGCTGTATGTAATTATACATGTAATACATACATGCATACATACATACATACATATATTTACATACATATATAGATATAGACATATATTTACATACATATATAGATATAGACATATATTTACATACATATATACATATAGACATATATTTACATACATATATACATATAGACATATATTTACATACATATATACATATAGACATATATTTACATACATATATACATATAGACATATATTTACATACATATATACATATAGACATATATTTACATACATACATACATATAGACATACATTTACATACATATATACATATTTACATGTATTATATCCTGCATACCTTTTAGCAAGTCATGGCTTACAAGTGGCTGGGATCAGTTTCATTTGATCCTTATCATGGGGATTCCCATTGCTAACTCCTGGCGGGGACCCCCTAACAATGGAGACATGATCCGTTGACCATGTTCATGTACATACTGTATCCTAGAATTGGTATGCAAATGTGCAGGAACCCCATGTATGTAGGGTAAGACCATGCATTCCTGTGAACTTCCCCTAAATCCATTGAATCTAGTAATCTTGTGTCTACAATATGTACCTTCAGAGGTCTGAGATGGTCATGGACTGTCCATAATTTGCGCTATATTCACAGATGACTTTGTTCACAATTACATGAAAACAACATATAAACATGTCATGTTCCATTGCAGGGGTAGTTCCCCGGCGGTAAACATCAACCATAGAATAATTGGTTCATTGATTTGTTGATCCCACGCTTGGACAAGGGCACAGTTTACAGGAACCTATCAGACCATACCAAAAAAGTAGACCTGTTTATTGGTTGTATACAACAGAATATATAAGATCATCCCAACTAAATAGATATGGTTATTGTCGAAATCGTAGTTCCTCCAGCCACTTATTCACCATAGTTTACCATGAATGTTACCATCGTTGATAGGAATGAAAGGGATGAAATTTACTTGTGCCAATGGTTCACCCCGATAAATCATTGGCTTCGTCCCAGACAGATATTGAACTTTGAAATTGTTGTTCTCATGTGCGAAATTCCTCAACGTCAAAGATGTATCATTGGAAACCCAGGATTGGTACAGTGATATATAAGTGGTATCAATACACACATATTTATATATATATACATATGTGTATACATATATATATATCTCGCTATATCCCCATGATATCCTTAAACATATCTCCATTAAAGAAACAGTTTGATGGTTGATTCACCGAGGCCTGGTGGCATCTGCCACCAGGTGAGCGTTCCTTCACCACGCCTGTCTTCGTGGCGTGGTGAATGATAGGAGCGGATGTAATTTATTGGGATCTAACCATGGAAGTATGATGAAATGTGGGTTTTCATGGGATTCTGGGATTTTACGAGATTGAGACTTTTTTGAAAGTGGGATTTAGTGAAATGTTAACGGGATGTAGATGGACTTAGATCGCGAAATATTGGGAATCTAATGGATCTAATGGGACTGAGTTTGCTAATTAATTATGAGGAATCCAATATTAAGTCAAGTTCTATACCCATATTTGGGAATGGTCATCAATCGAAAAAACCTAGGGATCTATTTTACATAACCCCGATATAAGGATTCCCTTTTTGGGATGAATTGGGTGCTTGCCGTTGGTACTGGCGGTGCGAAATATCCTCCACTTCTCTGGAGACTTGTCCAGGTACCTTCTCACCTCATACAACTGATGCAACTGGTTGAGTTTTCAAAACAAGTGCTCATGTGAGTATCCGACTTTTGACACCATTTTAGGGAGTTATTGCCCTCTATTCTTATTTATGACTCGGATCTTGAAACCATGGTCACATTTTGCACGGTGTATGTGTAGATGGTGGCTGACTATGCTCATGAAATCGGACATAATCAGAGTGGGGAGTTAGATTGCGTTGTTCCCAAGGTGATTGCATCAAGTTGAAGGGAAAGTTGTGGAATCTTCAGATGTTTTACGCTTGCCATCTACAACGCTTTAGAGTGGAGATACACTGTTCGCAAGTTGAAGTAGCCCTGTTTGAGATTAGCACAGAACTCTTGGCCTCTGAAATTGGAATGTGCAATGTCCCAAAAAAAAGGTCTGCACGTAATTGACCGTGTCTACTTATGGGTCAAATTTGATGGTTTAGCATGACCAGTTTTTGGTGGGTGACTTCCGCATTTTCAGACAGACCCAAATATCAGAGTGTTTATATTCCATGATATTCTCATATATTCCCATCAAATTGTCGGTTGCATTCCCACGTTTTCTTGGTATCCACAATACCCTCCGGTAATCAAAATGTGGCTGGAAAATCCATTTCTTCATCAGCCATAGTTCAATCACCTCGCAAAAAACAACCACGTGCCGGATTTTCATGGATTTTCATGGATTTTCATGGATTTTTTGTGGGGCCTTGATGACACCAGGGGGTTTTCTCCATGAATCTCCCATAAATTTCTCCCATGCTGGCTCCGTTCCAAGGAGGGTTGGCCAGAGACCTTAGACTTCATCCGAAAGGTGTGGACTGAAGAGGGCCCCTTCGACGGCATGCTGGGCTTCTCTCAAGGCCCCTTCGAAACGCTTGGTTTTTTTGGGTCGGGGGGGTGCTATATGGCTATGGATCAATACCTATTAATACCTATTAATACCATTTTTAGGGGGATGAACATCCATTTACCAGCTATTTTGATGTGAACTACAGGGGTACAAGGTTTTGACACACTGCCATATCCCATGTTCATTGAGTCGTAAGATGATGTCGTAAGCACGTATTGCTAAATTATGATTGTTAGATGTGATTTTTGAAACATAGTTCATTCGATTTTTATTATGACCATTGCTAATTATTGCATATTATTGCTAAATGATGCTAAATGTCTGATGATTATTGTGATTCCTAGATTTGTCCTGTTAGTTTCTCTTGGAAAATAGGATTCGCCTAGTCCGCCAAGTTGCTCGGATGCTGCGCAAGTTCCACCATACATTCACCAGCTTTCATCAATGGTGTAAAAGGTGAAGGGGTTCACAATTTTCAGAAGTTTGTGTTTCAAAATTTCATATCAATTTCCCAGATGATTTCTGAAGTGCACTGGCTTCGTGTAGGTAAACTCTACCGGAAACCATGGTTGTTTTTGCCAATCGAGGGATTTCCCATCACATGTTTCCATCTAGCCACGTGGGTGCGTCTGAACATGGAGGATCAAGCTCACAATTGCGAATTCAATAGGAAACGGAAAAGTGATAGATGATGATCAACTGGTTGGTGGTTTGGAACATGTTTTATGACTTTCCATATATTGGGAACAATAATCCCATTTGACTTTCATATTTTTCAGAGGGGTAGGTATACCATGGTATACCACCAAATGAATGATAAAGCATGAAGATTTTGCTTGTGTTCCCGTCATTTTCAGACAACTTGGATCTGTTTCAAGCTCGTGTTTGATCTGTTGATAAATCCACCAGGGGAATGAACGGAGCCGACGGAGCACGGACCAGGCGCTATCCTGGTGGCAGCTCTGGTCGCACTTGGAGAGATGAAATCTGGAAGAGCCTTGGTGCCTAGGCCTGGATGTTGTGGATAGCAACAAGAATGAAGGGAAAATATACCGTAGATATAGTTGATGTATATATATATATATATTATATTATATTATATTATATTCTATTATATTATATTATATTATATTCTATTATATTATATTATATTATATTATATATAATTAATCAAATAATTAAATATATATATATGTATATATATGTTGATAAATGGTGATATATGTTGATATTTTTGTGTTGCTTGATATTCCAGTTTGTGCTAATGGAATATCCATTGGTGCTGTCATATCTACATTTCTTGCCGTTCTTAGCCTATTTGTGGCGCTATAATGTATAAATTGTGGCCCCTCCACCTTTACCAGTGTCCGTTTTTGGGAGGGTATGTGAATCTCACTGTTTTTGTTGGCTAAATGTCAAGCATGGCATGGCGGACCATGTCTTGCCCACCGTGGGTTTCCTGGATCACCTGGTGCATCATCTTCCCTGTTGAAATTGCCCATTCCATTTTCAGACACACCCAAATATCAGATTCTTGAGGAGATTCCATTTAATCCAAGTATATCAACCTATATATATATATATACATGTATTTATATATGTATCAACATATATCAACATATATATCCAAACATATTCTTATTATGATTATTATTATTGTTATTATTACAATTATAATATATATATAATTATATATATATATTATATCCGTTATATTATATTATATATCTTATTTAATGTATTTTATAAATTCACACTTGTTGGCAAGGTCCCCCCCTCATTTGCTGATTGAAACCAGAGCTGAATTTGTATTGCTATATGTTGCTATGTTTATATATATAATAGATCGTTCGACAAGCCGCAAAAAAGAAAATCAACTAAGTAATATGTGGATTAAACCTGCAGATGAGGGGCATGTTGGGGATTACAAAACCATCATACTACCATCCCTAGATCAAGAGACCACTGGTTGATTTTGAAATTGTGGCTATTTTTTGAATTGAAGTTATTATCAATACAAAATTCTGGGGACCCCACTTGTTCATTACCCAGTGGTCAAGTTTACCAAGGTGGTAACCCAATTATCCATCATCCCAAAATTGGGTTTATTGTGAGGTATATCCCCGTTTGGGATAGTTGGTCAGAACCCTAAATGGTGGGTCACTGGGTTACTTATTGGCTTAGTCATTGGGTCGCGGGTTGCCACATGGCCACATGGTTGGGTGATGGGTGAATCGCTACCATCGTCACCAACTCTGCCATGGGCTGCAGACTACTAAGCGCTTGAGTCTTGTTCCAGATGCACGCTGAAGCATAGTGTCAGTTCCATAAAGCCACGTAGGTTGAATGCCCAACCAAAATAGCGATACCAAAATAGCGATACATGTATACATAATATGTATATGTATATGATATGTATATGTCTATTGTATATTGTATATTGTATATTGTATATTGTATATTGTATATGTATATGTATATGTATACGCGAAAATAGTGATATGTATATATATATACACATATACTTTGTGAGCAGATGAGGGATCACGATTTTGGACGGTTTATCGGTCTGGACTAAGGGTCCGAATTCAACTGTTGCTCTGCCGCAACGACTGCGTTACTATGGGCAGGAGGAAAAAAAAATACACATATAGATATAGAGTCATACAACAACAAGAACGCTCCCCTTACATAGTCCTTTCCACCCCAAATTGGCACATCAATTTGAGGCGTCGTGCCGGTGCCTGTTGCTGTGCGGTGCCGCCGTGCCCGGACCGCCAGGGGCCTTGGGGGCTTGAGCATGGATGGGGTAGCCATGCTTGCAGGGAATCACCAGCAGATGAGGAAGTAAGATCCAAAATGGGTGACAGTCAAGCACAGAGAAATAAGCATCAACTACGCGATAATAGAAGCATCACTTAAAACATCAGACACGGACAAAAAAATGTCATTTTCATCTGAAGATCATCCATGAATCTCTTATTAAGACCCCTCTAAATCCCATAAATAAATCCTATATAAATCCAATATTCATCCCAAATCAATCCCAAGCTTATCAATTCCAGATAAATCCATATAGATCCCATCAATTTGAGGCCGGTCTGAAATGCAGAGAGGCAGCGCAACGAGCGGCTCAGGTTCCAGCGGGAAATTGCAGATTTGGCTTCTCGCAGCTTGGCGAAGCCGGCCGGCCCTGGTCCTGGTCCTGGCAACATCACCTAGAAATAGAGGCAACGGGAACCATCTGCGATGTTTTTCCAGGCATCGAGGGAGTACCAGAGGGTATATGACATTTGTTTCCGGGAATTCTTTGGGGTATATAATTATATAATATATATAGAATGATATATACATATATATTATAGATATACGGGCCTTCTACGGGAATCATATTGGATTTAGGTGATTTTTAAATAGTGTATTAATGAGACATTCATGGCTTGATTTTTTTCCATCCGAATCCTGGGATGATGATCCCCACATTGATTTGTTTTAAGGGTTGAATCAAAAACAACCAGATAAGATATTGAATAATTATATTTGAATATAGATATAATGATTTTGTCAGGAAAAACATGGGAATATTTACTGGGATGTGATGGAAAAAATACAACCAGAAATCTCATCTTTGGGTCCGTCTGAAAATGGTGTGTACCCCCCACATGGTACGTTTAATATGGAAAACGATGATAGACTCCTGATAGACCCATGTTTTTCGTTACAAGTATCCTATGTTCAGACAAACCTGTAGTGAAGCAACGACGTGTTCTGCGTTTGTTTGAACATAGGGGATATGATATAGTGACATCGAAATCTTAGCAATTATAACAGGAGAACAGTTAGCAGTTAAACCCTCAAAGTTTGGGCTTTCCAATTTTCCGACAAACCCAAGCTTGGTAAAACAATGGATTTGATGGCCGGAAGAATGGGATGTGTGGGATCGATTTGGGGCAACCTACCAAGCTTAAGGGGCCCATTCACTTGATGCAACGAACGGCAACTGACTGTATCAAAATCTAGAGCGTTCCTAAGTCATAGGGTACCCCCAGTTATCATATGTTATCATCCATTTTATTTTGGGATATTCCATGATAGACCATTCCAGCTGGGGTAGATACGAAACCATACGAAACCTCCATATTGGAGCTTCAACTGAGGGGCCGATAAGCTGGAGAACGGCAACTACGTGGCCCTTCACACCATTGGCCGGCAAGATGATATTAACCCTCCCGAGGGAGCACGACAGGCTGGTTTTTTGGTTGTGTAGTCCAATGGGACTGCCAGAAAAGCCATGCGAAACCTCTGGAATCAAGATTGATATCGATTCATTGCTTAAACAGGTGAAACAGTTTAAACATGGCATTTGTTCATGTGATTCAACAGATTGTGTATTTGAAGCTCACTCAAAACAACACGGCTTCATTGACGGCACCTAGCTGTCTATACTTCCTTCAACGCAGGTTGCAGCCGCTGTGGGTGGCGAAATCTTTGAGTTCGATGGGGGGCATGATGTCCCGATGGATGAGGACCGAAATTCCAAACATGGCAAGGTGAAGTTTTGAAAGCTGGTGAATCAATCTGTTTGTTTGAACGCATCGGACAATCATGGAAAATCAATGAAAATCACGTATTATATATATATACATGACATATCTATCAATGCGGCTATGTTTACTATTTTTGACTCCCTTTCCGATCAGATCAAGAGGCCCCCCCGATGTTTGGGACCCCAGTCGAATACGGGGTATTTGATCTGATCGGGAGGAGGGCTTGAGTGGGGATTGTGAATGGGGCACTACAGTAATCTCTGGAATTTCAGGGGCTTTTCAGTGGCCAGATTCGATCTTCCCAGATTGTGAAAATTGGGCCTTGCTGGATAAATTGCACTTGTCACTTCTTGTCTACTCTCCAGTAATTCAACATAGCTATGGAAAATGGATGAACATGGCCTATTTTAAGATGATTACCATTGATTACCTATAGTACTAAAAGTGATTTTCCATAGTAATGTTAAATTCCCAGAGGGTAAGTCATTGGCATACCTCAGGAGACGCAGCTATCAGGATATATCAGGATGTGTAAGATTGATTGAGTGAATAGAGTGGAACTTCTGGTGCAAATGAATTAACTTTCATGATATCAATGAGTCCGGCGTGTATCCATAGTGTTTGGCAACTGCCAGTAGTGTTCTCGAGTCCCCGTGCCAATGACGCAGGCCGCACTGGAAGTGTATCGCAGCCTCCTGAAACGCTTGCCATAATATATGGCCAAAGGATCACATCAGTGGTTGGATGATGTTGGGGACCATACCATTTCTATTTAATACTTTCGATCAGCTGCCGGTTTTGGATGGTTTTGGCAAGCCCGTGCAGGCGCAAGTCATGATTCCCTATTCATCCCCGGAAGATGGGCATTGTCCGGCGCGGGGACCGCTCGGCTGAAAATGAGGTCCGGCGCACCGCTGGGTGAATCATAGTGTTTTGCTTGAAGATCATGTGCAGCGATCGCTGAGGTTATGACCCTGTCCTGAACGATGCAGCCATCGCAGCCATGTGATTTTGGGATAGCAACCACCGCTGGTGGCAGAGCGATTGCAAGGGCAATGCCGGCAATGCTGTACAGATGATGCATCGACACTAAACCTGCAACAATTTTTATGGTTGCAGTTTTAAAGTGTCGCATTGATTTACCATGACAAAGGCTTGAGACTTATAGATTCTTGAACGTTGTATGAAACTGATCATGTTGAAATCAGGTAGTCTTGAAGTTTGGGTTCTTTAGTGGCTCTTGAAGCTTGAATTGTAGGGCACGTTGTCAATCTCACCAGGTGTAGCTGTCCCCCATCTCTCGATGCTCGATGAAGTCATGGAATTGATGCACGGCGCATTGCTGAGAAACCGGGTCTCTGTGGCTTATGGAACACGGGAGGCATGATGCTCGTGGTTTTGCTCGTGGTTTTTGGTGTTTTGACACATCATATTGTCCTCAAAGTAGCTGTCCCTATCGGCCCTCAACCAATGCTGCATGCAACGCATCACCCTCCTTGGATGACTTCTGAGCACACAAGGCCCAAAGACAGCCAACGCTTTCGATGAGCGGAGGTGTAAAACAAGTCGTGTTTTCACCACACATGCAAGCCAGTGATAAAGCATCACTACCACTCACTACCTTGTTTGCTGGTTTCACGTGTTCATATCATATATACTGTAATTATGATTTAATTAATTGTTATATTATATTATTATTATATATATATATGTTGTTGATAGACGTCTAAATAGCGAGTTATTGATTGCCCATAGCTTTTGGGATGATCATCCCAATTGAGCTCAATGATCACCTGGAAAGCTTGTGATGTCCACGGAAAAATATCAGGGGTCCCAGTTGTTGTTTTTTTGGGGGGATCATCTTTCTGAGCTCTCTCCCATTTGTGAACTTATCTCAACGTATTGGGGAGGTGCTAGGATATTAGACCATGCTCTTTGCCATGTTCAACGGCACTATGTTTGATTTGTTCGCATGATAATTTTGATCATTTTGCAATGTTGTCCAATTCCAGCATCGCCTGCGCATGCGAATCATGCTTCGACACCATGGGTTTTACACATTGACAGAGGTTGAAAGCAAGATGAACCACCTCCCAGGCAGGGACCAAAGTTGCCTCAACTTCCCAACGTCCTTTCGGCTCGGACGCACATAGCTGACAAGAACAGATCCAACTTTTTCATCACAGCTCCCGGGTCAGTGTCAAAGCTGAGATTTTATTGGCGTGGAAGATGTGAGGAAGTGAGAGTAGGTTTCACCTTAAAGGACACTGCATCTCGAGAAGGTTCCGTAGCTATATTCTGTGCAGTTGATTAAGGCTGACCTGACCACAAGTGGATCAGGAACGCTTCAGCAATCACTTCGGAACCCTCTTTGCCCATCAAAAAAGTGAAGTTGTTTGATTTTGTTTGTAATATTCCATGAAATCCGATCACAGAAAACAAGGAGATTTCGAGCCCACAATGCATTGAACGCAACCGACCCAAAAACCCAGCCGCGCTCTCCGCTCACTCCGGGCGCTTCGGCATGAGCTTCTGACACGTTTGGCTGCGCCGCGCATTGAAATGGCGGTGAGTTTCAGCACTTGGGCAGTGTTCAAAATCCTGGTTGGTTGGTGATTTTAGCGGATAATACTACCCAATATACTGGGGATATACTGGGGATTATAATATAATATTAATATATATTATAATAATCCAAGAACGGGGAATCCCTATTCACCAACCTGTAATGACAGGGATTTTGAACACGGCCATGGGGAAGATCCAGCGGTTCAAGCGATGAAAAAAATGGTGGGAAACGGGAAACCCACCAAAAAATCAAGCGTCAAAATTTTATGAGATGTTTCCATATGTGGGAAATTCATGGAAATTCACGATTTGTTGCCTTGAAGTCTTGAAGTATGTGTTGTTCTAAGTTCTTAAGAGTTGATGTCTTTTTGGAGCAAAACTATAAGAAAACCAGGCCGGTTTTACCATGCCCCCAGAGATGCCCAACACAAGGGCTTTGCTCACGGAAGGTGACCTCAGAAAAGAATCGACTGCTTCGCCAGGTTTTTAACTCATGTTGAGCAGGAATAAATCCATAGGAAATCCATAGGATATATATATATATAGAGGATATAATATATATATATATAGATATCCATAGATGTCCATGGTTGATAGGTTGAAGATCCTTGGAGAGCTTGCACTAGGCATCCACGAGTCGCATTGAAAATCATCCCCCATGGCGGGCATTCCCTGAGCCTGCCAGCCCATCTGATCCATTTTCCCAGTACCGTGCTGTTGAAGGCTGTTGAAACATTGCTTCACTTGATATTCTGACCTGATGTCTCATATATTGTCAATGGGCTATGATGATTTACCAAAAATGGATCCAAAAAAATGGACCCAAAAATTAATCGATGTTTGGTACATCTACAGTAATTAATATCAGTCTGTTAAACCCCCATTTTCGCTGAATCCACGGCAGGTCCAGAGAGTTGGCGACGATTTTGGGCGACATTTTGCGCAAGGGCAGATGCTCCTCGATCCGGATTCCGGGTCGGGATTCGACGATGAAAACGATAGAGATTTCACCATAATGGTGATCTCGTGGGGATATGTTTATGATATATATAGCATATGCAGCATATGGTATTCTATTCATATTACAAGGTAAAAGGTGAGATTGCTAGCGAACTTGGTTCACTGGTATCACCAAGGATTTAGGGTAATTACTATAACTATAGTTGATAGGGTTGGAAAACACCAACTTATAATTGGGGTGCCCCGCCTTCTTTGGATTTGTATGCGATGTATATTAACATACAATCATCATCATATTTATCAAGCCATCGATTTATAACCGGGATGTATGGGCCTTTTTAGGGGCAGCCTGGGAATCTCATGAGATCACTGTGGGATTGTACCTGCCAATGCCACCACCACTGGGAGGATGAACCGAGAATCATATCCATTTCTGGTGAAATGGAGGCTTCTTTATGGCTAAGCCACATTACATGACCCCAAAAAGTCATATAGTTTCTATATTGTTCACCTTGATTTTTGAGGCTGGTTTATACCCATGTCTGGATCCATTCACCCTAGTTCATTGGTTGATTCATCCCCCCTCATCGATGTTAACCGGTCAATTGGGCTTGACATTGTTCATCATTGTTCCAATGACTCCAACCATTTCCATATCTCACTGCCAGTGCTTGGCAGCACGCCCTGCTGGGCGCCACATGTTTCGAAGGTCCGGAGATCAGCGTGGAGTATTCCTGCGGCCACAGCGTTCAGCCAGAGGTGGGGAGTCTGGAAAAAGCTGGAAGATGTTTTGGTTCCCCCATGGGAGGTGATTTTCCCCAGGAAATCTGCGGGAATACGGAAGATGTTTTGGGCAAATCTAAGAAAAGTTTGCTACTCTCCTGAAAAATGATGACCAATTGGGGGTGTAACCATGAAAATCTGACACTTCTCGGGGATTTTACCATGACCATGTGGATATTTATGCGACAAGATAGCCATACATGACACATGACATTAATATGAGGATATATGAGGCTTGAAGCTGGGCAGGGTAATCCCTTCCCACGACTGAATACACCCCTCTGACCCCCTGAGTTTAGGTGGGTTGGGATGACACTGTTTTGGGATGATTTCCCTGAATGCAGCAGAAATTCTTGAGTGATAGGGGAACCACCTAAGCACTCAGAATTTCACCAGTCCTTCAAGGTTTGTAAGTTTTCAACCCTAGGTTTACCATGCCCTGCGATTACAAGAAACATGGGCAATTCAACGCTACCATTTCAAGGTCCACAGATCCACAGATGCGTATCTCTTCGTTGGGCTCCGAGTCCCATTAACTGGTGTTTTTGGGAGTATCAATCTGCAGCACACTCCAATATTTTCCTGTGCTGGTTAAACATGTTGAAAACAAAAGCACAGTTTCAGGGGGTGAACAACATAACCCATGAATCCATATGAATCCATTTGAATCCACTTGAATCCATTTGAATCCAATGAACATGTTCTCACAACCATAAACCAATCCGTTGCCGAGGGGTCTCCACCCTTAATTTTTTCCTGTGGCCTCGCGCATGCCACGCTAGGTTCACATGGCTCCCTTTTTGGCCGACAAGAAAGAGCCCCGTGTGGCTGCCAGGTGGGCCCCCGAATCACCAGGGTTGGACCAGGGTTGGTATATAACTTCAATTATGGGTTTAAAAGGGGAATATGACTAGAGTTCTTGGAGGTTACTAAACATAACTGAGGGGCCACCTTGTTCCAGGCATTTTTGTTTGGGGGGGATCTAGTTGGATGTGGGGAACCTCATGGGAGAGAAATGGGAGGTTCACCATCGATTCAAATCGAAAGCTGGATTCAGCAGCAATGGGCGATGTTGCACGATCAAAAAGGGGTTTTAACCAGAAAAGAATGTGACCTGCCGCGTACACCAGCGATAAACTATCCCAGAAACATCATCCCAGAGAAACGGTGTAGTTTTTCCTGTCATAAACCTTTGATAACCGAATATCACCAGATGTTGCTGCATAATATGTATATATATATATGTTTTGAGATGTCTTGATGTTTTTTCAAATCAGCAGTAAAATCATGCCTGACCACGTCCTGCTGGTAAGGTCTATAATATTTAGGACTATCAAAACTTAAGCAATTGCTTAAGAAGTTGTTGGTATATATGTTCAATCCTTTCCATGAATTTCCCATGCCCATACCTGAAAAAGCCTTTCTTTGGGAGTATAATTTACCGTAACCACTCACTGGGTGGTCGTGTCAAAATGTTTTATTTGTCTCACGTGTCCTATACCTGG